CAAAGTTCATGATGTCACTGCAACCATGGAACTATATAGTTCCATGCTGCAACATATATCGGCAGAAATGAAGCCGAAGACATCAGGAATGCAAAGCTCCAGCCGTTTCTGGCAGTCATTGTAACAAAGCTTTCTATTGGTCGGTAAACTTTCTATCGCGCAACCACGTGACATACACGGTTATGAATAGAATTACCGCACGGTGTTGTAGAGGGACGAATATCCGAACGAAACAACACCGTGCAGGCGGACGATGGTTTCAATTGGGAATATTCAACGTCAATACGACGCTCCATCCGAAACACCGTTCCATTAATTCGCGCCCTCTAGCGACGGAAACATTTCTTCGTTTGTTATTGATGGATAACCACAAATCAAAAAGTGAGAAATGCTTCGTTGTTTAGAGGGTACGACGTATTGGACATAACTTCACTCTTAATTTATTTCTACATATTATAGCGTGCTTAGTCGATGGAATATCACGTCGACACGGTGAACATTACTTCCACGAATGTAATGCGACGTGTTTCTGCTACAATGGAGTGGAGATGTGTACACCACGGTGCCAGAGTCCAGGCGAAATGTCTCCCGGCCCAACGTGTCCCGAACCCATATTAGCGCCGCCGCCGATCGGAGAGTGCTGCCCGCAATGGACCTGCCCCCCACCTCGTAAGTATTTTGCTCAACCAATCTAATCTGATCTAATATAATCATTATCATATTGAAATCCAAAAATTTAAAAGAATGTATTATTTCTACTAGCTGGTTATGGATCGTGTGAAGTTAATGGCAATGTCTACGAAAATGGTGAAAGGTTTGTCGTTGATTGCACGGCATATTGCAAATGCGATTCTGGCTCTATTGCCTGTGTGTCTATGTGTCCGCCTACTCTCGTGGCACCCTCCGCAGATTGTCCCTTTCCAAGACTTGTAGATGTCCATGGCGAGTGTTGCCAGCAGTGGGAATGCGGTCCACCGCGTAAGTTGTAGTTTCACGCATTCTAATTATTTGAACTGCATATTGTAATCACTGGACTTATGTAAACATCCCTCGTATTTTTTTCCAGCACCTTCATTGGGTTGCTTGGTGGAAGAGACCTACGTACATGATGGTGATTGGGTGGATCTGGACTGTGACTCTCGGTGTCAGTGTCTCAATGGGTTTCTGACTTGCGTTCCAATGTGCCCTTTGCCATTAGCCCCGGACGTCACTCAGCCAAGTCCGCTGTGTCCCGAACCGTTCATCGGGAAACTCAAGCAAGATGACTGCTGTGAGGTGTATGTTTGTCATCACCCCCAACAAGGTACCATCATTATAGGTATTATGTGGAATAGAATATAATATAATAGAATAGAATAGAATAGAATAGAATAGAATAGAATAGAATAGAATAGAATAGAATAGAATAGAATGGAATAGAATATCTTTCACTATGATCGAGCACGGTCCCTTGAGGAATGATGGATTGAGCAAAGTGTGTTCTTCACCGTTGGTAGTTTACCGCGTTTTGCATTGTTTCGATTACCTTTACGCATGTTTGGATTCCACAGTAAGTCCTAATGCTGCACACGATGTCTTACCGGAAGCCGCTGGGCCGTCGACGATTATTATTGGTCTCAGCCCGCCAACCAATCCAAATGTTCTTGCCATTATGAGGGGTTATGATATTTATTACACAAGCAATCAGAACGCCACTGAACTATCCCAGTGGAATACGAAATTCGTGCAGGTAAAGATCTTTGTTTATCATGATTGTTTCTTCATTTCGTTCTTTCTTTCCTTTTTCCTCCCCTCTACCGCCCCTACCTCATTTCCTCCCACCGTTCAGCAATTAAAGCGCGGTGGTCGTCCCGCAGCGTGTGTTCGAATTTCATGTAAATAAACAGTGTATTTTACACGCGTTGTATACGTCGCTATGAGTCCCATATCGAACAGGACGACGACTGCCGCCCTTTAATTTTATGGAAGGTACTATTCAAATTGGCCATCATTTTGTCAAAATCTATATTGACCTTATCTCATGGTCCAATTTTAATGTATAGTGTGCGTTATTACAGGTGACTCGCTCAATTCCGTCCAATGAACGCTACAAACGAGATGGTGTAATACAAAGTCAGTTTTTCGTAGAAATAGAAGACTTGGTACCAAATACAGTATATTTTATTAAATTAAAAGTCAATATTCCGCCTGAAGACGAGGGTTATTGGCCAAATAACTTGCCTTTTTCCGAAACCATGGTGACGAAGACGGGTAACGCATCAGGTAAATTTTATTTCAAGTTGCAATTTGGAAGAAATATTGAATTCGCGTCTGCCTTGAATTTGAAGAGTAATGTGCATATTTCATTAGCATCATGTACTGTAAATACATTGATTATTCACTGGGTTTTAATTTCGCCATTGTCGTTGATAAGTAAAATTCGCTAAATTAAATATATGTGAACACATAGAATAAGACTCATTGTTTCCCTGCCGAGTTCGTGAACTAAAAAAAAAACTGTTAAAAGACATCAAAATAGTGAATGTTACTGATTGTTTGTGATGGGTGTTACAGTATATTTGTTTTGGTTTAGTGGTGAAAATGCTAAACCTGGATCCATGGCGTTGTCAGTGGGCTTATTATATTCCGTCGCTTGACTGCCCAATCAACTGGAACAGTCAAGCGACCTATATAAAAATCGTCCGCTCGACACAACGACATGGGTCCATGGCTAGGAAAATTCATGCATTGGCTTTTATATAGTGAATTGACTAGAGGCGATTAATACTATCGGGCCGAACATGGTTGAACCTGACAAATCCAAGATCATATAACTCTCGAAATGAAAACGCGCTGATGTTTTATCTAATACACGAATAAAATTAATTCAATGAACCAGTGACATCCAATGCTATGTTTACAGGTGGCCCTTGTCGATTCAAAGATCAACTGATACAAAATGGCGATACCATTCAAGATAGGTGTGTCCGGTCGTGTCGATGTAATTTGGGTGTGCTTCTGTGCCAGCCCCTCTGCCAGAATCACCCTTTGGTCCCTTCAGACGAATGCCCAGTGCCTAAATTGGTGACTATCGAAGGACAGTGCTGTCAGGAATGGCGGTGTAACGCCAATGGTGAGGGCACTTTTTAAAAACTCACTGTGCTTTCTGCTCAAATCATATGCGCATGTGTTCAAATTCAGATAGTCTGGTCTCTTAGAAATGTATTCAGATGTTATGAGTCAAGACACTAGTTTTACATATTATTTTGCAGAGGGAGACTGTCGCCATCAGAACAGAACGTACCGTGCCGGAGAAGAGTGGAGGGCAAGTTGCGATGTGCGCTGTTTCTGCCGTGAGGGCGCTGTGTTATGTCAAAATCTGTGCCCCACATACAGTGATGGCGCTCCAGCCGGATGCCCTGGCGCTACATTGGTGGATGTGCCCGAGACTTGTTGTCAACAGTGGGTCTGTCACAAAGGTAATACTTTTGGGATACAAATCTAATTATTAGATTTGTTAGATTTAATTGTTATTTCAAGGAGAGAAAAAAAAAACGAAATACATTTCCCTGAAATGTAAACGAATCGTCTGTTTCTTTCTTTCCAGGTGTAACGCCCACACCGCGCGCGTTCCCGCACGTCCTACCTCCATTTTCACTACTAGAAGTTAACATAAGCGCATTTGACGTCACAGCTACCATGGCAGTGATTAGATGGTCGCCTCTGTCGGACACACAGAAAAAATACATAACAGGATTTATAGTGAAGAGCAAGGACTTGTTACTTTCTGGTGACTGGAGGGAATCAGAGAAAATTCACCCAGCGACCAGGAATTACACGTTGGTCGGCCTGAGTCCGGGGAGAACATATCTTGCACAAATAGTAGTGTTAGTAGAGGAATCTACCCTTAATGTTCACTTAGACACGAACCTTATTACTATTCATACGACCAGCATCGAAGGTATGTACACGTACATGCACGCATCCTGAAAACGTATTTTGGGGAGAATTCATGTTCGTGACATTCGTCAAATGACAATTAAAAGCATCGTGTTTGCAGTGTAGCTCTGTACCATATTCAGGGTATTCTTGCTTCAATCATTCTTCAAAGTAGAAGTCCACCCATAAATTAAAATATTCAGAAATCATTTGTTTTGCAATAAGTGTGCGTCCGGTGAATACAAGGCTTTAAGAACAGTTTGAGATACCGGAATATTTATCAAGAAAATAATCGTTAAATATCAGTAAATGGCTAGCATTGAGCATTGTCATACGTTTACCAAACAAAATACCTTCAAAAATTAAACATTTCTGTCACGAAAAGTTCATTATAATTTAGTAGTTGCCGGTAATTGTGAATGTGCGAAGTCTGCAATTAACCTGTACCGAATCAACCGATGCATTTTACACATATATTGTATACGTTGCACTATGGCGTGTTGCGGCTACTGCGGCAATCTGACGCTGAAATTATTGGGGTTCGGTAGAGATTTGCATAAATTTACATTCATATATTTCTTTTTTGTGTGTTTTATTTAGAATCCACAACAGCTCTACCTTATCGGATGACGGTTGTCATAGAAACAGAAGTGATAACGGATAGCTCAGTGACGGTTTCATGGGATCCTCTACCAAGCGCGATAACTAGTCAACTACGATCTTTCAACATCGTGTACAACGCCACCGACGACAAGGTTTCAAAATTACAAGTTTCACATGTTGCGAATAGCGTTGAAATAACGGGCCTCGGAAGCGACTATAGATATTCCATTATGTTGATAGGGATGTGGGCGAACGGAACTGTACTTCGAGAAATTAAATCTAACGTTGTGTGTGTTGAGACGAAATCTTTAGCAGGTGAGAATGATTTTATTTGCGACTTCACGGAAGTTCACTCTCTGTGGCACTTGCCATGACAACAATGATTTACTGGTGACGGAATCAAACATGATATTCAATGCTCCATACATAGACTGGCTCCAGTCGGGACGATTTTTTAAAAAAACATTTAAAACAATTATTTTCTCCACTCCCTGCAAAATGACCAGCCACCGCGAGGTATTTCGCGGAAATATTTTTTTAACTAACTTGGGGCAGGACTAACAAATATATAACGTTTTTATTATTGAACATTTGTTCACTTCACGTGGTTTTTCAAATATTATTTTACATCATCCGTAACTCTGCCAGGTTGTCTTGAAATCGTCAAATTCACATTTAATTGAACAGTAAGAGTAGTTTGCTTGGATGAAATTTGGCTTATTGCAGGCAATGTAACAACTACATACCGAGACGTAACAAGCAAGTCGTGACACCGCCATATTACGCCCGTCGTGCATACCAACTTTAAAGTGCCTGTGAAATGCCCAACCACACCTTTACCATTTTAGATCTGTGTCCCACTGAAATGGACAGTTATTAATTGCGGTTCTCTGTGGCTTCCGAGGTTATGTCATTAGCTCGAAGACTCTACAAGGGAGAGTGGCGAAAACGAAGCGTCGGACAAACAGGGAATTATGCAGCACTTCCACACTGCTAATTGTTTTTATTCGCAGGCTAAAAGTTTCTGAATCGTTCGGTGATTGGTGTTGAATGTTGAATCCACATCTGTTACCTTTATTGCAGCTTGATCTGCGTAATAATTTATGGAATAAGAATCCGGGCTTGGGATGTCAATGTGTTTCGACCAAGTATAATTTTAATATGATGTCATATTTATGACAATCACGCTAACTCGAATCCACTCTGAAATCCACTCATGGCAATCGGATACTATCGCCCAACTACAATATCTCTTGCCTTACGGTCCCCCCCTACGGCGTCTGAAAGTGACTTTATTAGGCCCGAGAACTGTCGACAGTCTAATAGTAACGGTGCTTTAAAAAAAACAGAACTAAATATCCGTGTTGTTCTAGTAATTGCGTTGACCGTGACGGGAATGTTCCGTAATAAACCACGCTATGGTGGCTCCGGGACTCGGAGAATGCACTTGTTCTAGTTTAGTGTTATTTAAGTTGCCCGTCTAGTCGTAAATTTGAAAACACCTGTTCAGCGTAGACTAATGCTCCTTGTAATGCAGAGCGTCGCAAACATTCCATATGAACTATAATTATGTCGTAATGGTTCTATTCAAACTGTGTTGGGATGGGCGGTGAGGCAATTCCCCCCTTAAATGTCCTTCTTTATGCAAACAACATGATTACTCCTGACTCCTGGCGTCATTTCCTCATCATTGCTGGTTTTAGTATGGCAATTACGCAGAACCTATTGTCATTGAAAACAAATACATGTGCGATGAATGAAGTATTTATTCTTGGATTTCATGGTTCAAGTGTACGCTTGAAAATGAATTATAAATCGAACTTCCTGCTGATCTGTGTTTTTACCTGTCTGATTGGTATTCGATGACTGAATATACTAGTACTATCAAATCGGAATTCTGTGCAAAACGCTTCGAAAGTATACCCCTATTCCAATATAACACTTTCGTCTACACAACCGTTTTGGCAGAAAAAATGTGGCTCATCCACTGTAATATCCCCGAGACAGAAATCTATCATGTCCCCTAACTTGAATACCACGAATTGTGCCACATTATTTGCGTTGTGGCGACTCTAATGTACATTCTGAACCTCGCGAGTAATAAGTGGTACCACGAAGTTGTTTTAGCATGCCGTGTTATGAATTGTGATTCAGTAAGTAACAAAAGAATGTTTGTATTACTAGACCTCCCCCCTTTCCACTTCAGCTCAAAAACAACATTTTAGCGTGTTCCCAACACGTGACACAGATTGATAACACCCCGGGTAATGTTCTTATTGACACCTTGTAAATGATAAAGGGTTGTGTACCTGTAATAATTATTGTTTTCGATTATTCGATGATTTTTTTGCTCTGTTTTAGATTCTAAGTCGACCCATAGAAAAAATATGTACGTCATCGTAGGTGTCGTCACGGCAACCTTGGTTGCCATACTGACTGTCGCAGCAGTCTGCTACCTGTACGTTTCGAAAAGAAAGAAGTCTAAAGAAGTTTACCGGGACGAAAGTACTGTTGCCTTTGAAAACATAACCTACGACACTGCGGCGACAGAGGTTGGCTTGTGATTTATCTTATATGCTGATTATTTTCGCTTCGAAAACGTATCCATTCTTTGAAATTCGGTTGTCTTCATGTATGGAAACAGCGTTACAGGTGGTCGGATTTGTTTACATTCAAACGTATCTGCAGAGAAACATTATCTTTAAACACTTCTTCGTTTTACATGTGTCCTTTGTTTTGTCGTTTCAGCAATCCAATCAAGATCGCACCAATATTATTATAAACAACGGAAAGAACGTTTATTAGTTAACGTCATCACCCAGTTACCCGGACCAAGTTGAAATTGACAAATTATTTTTGTTATGTGTTCATTTATTCTTGTCTCCAGTACGACATATGATGTTGATTGCCGATGTCACATGATAGACAGTAAGATCAAGAGTATTTTTTGACGAAATGTCTTAGAAAACGGCTGTAAGGTTTTTGACGATAAGAGTTTTCCGTGACGTCACTACACAGTTTGGTTTTGAATTGATGACATTTATACGCATGGATAATTATTGTGATATTGTGATTACGTAATAATATTTGATCAAATCCGAATGGATTTGATGCGGTTTTCCGTCTCCTGTGAATACAAGGGGCAAGTTTATGTTGCTTGCCGTCGACAAACACTGTCCGTATTCGATTTCTGTTTCGGAGGCAGAGACCACAAGAGTTGTCAGGGTTACTGGAATATATAAGAGATTCAATAGAATTTGTTTGAGACTATCAGGTTTTGCTAATCGGCCTACTACATATATATCCATATATATTCACGTAATTATTTATTAATTTCTAAAGCTCTCATTATACTCTAGTTCATAATCAAGGCAGCTCGTACTTGATGAGTGGAAATACACAAGATTACTTGTTTAATGTTTTAATTGTATGCCGTGTACTGTAGATTATTGCACATTAGAGAAAGTGACCAAATACCCTAAACCTGTGTTGTTTATGTTTCAACAACGGGATTTGCCATGAAGATGCTCATTTGCCTGTTGAACAGCCCAGTCCAAGATACACTGACGTCATTGTAGACTGCGGAGAACGTAGCAATTTCTGACGTCACTGTAAACTGTGGCGAGCGTAACAATTTCTGACGTCATTGTAGACTGTCGCGAGCACAGCAAATGTTGACATCATTGTAAACAACGCTGTGTTTTATTTTTTGTAGTCGACAGCTATTTAACAGAAATAAAATGTAACTTTTTTTTTTGAACGAAAACTCGTCAATTCCAGAAAATCCGTCTGTCTGTAACTCTAAGACTCTTAGTAAGAGAATTTCCAAAAATCCCTCGGCGTGGGTGGCTAATCTGAAAGCTGAGGGTCACCGTTCCATTCAGGGGTCATTTCCCGACGGTCCACCGCGTATTTTGCTGAATTCCAAATGTTACGAATATGCACAGTGCAGTTGAAGATAAATACGTCATTCTTTCTTGTTTTCCCTCGTTTCCATGCGGCTGTTAGAACAACTGTTTCCGCCATTATGTTAACAATTGCACGAACCAGCAATAGAGCTCGGCCAAATTCGACACCGTGACCAGTAATAACTGCTGAGGAAAACGAACACAGTGTATATTGACTGATAATAGGTAACAGAGGCATAGGTATAAGTAGTAATCATAATTATGCTTTGTATCCAGACGTGTCCGACAAATAATCTTTTTCGTCGTCAGGTTTTGAAAAGACGATAAATTAGTTCATTGTCCAAGTTCGGAGTGGCTTTCCCATACAATAGTTATACCTAACATGTTAATTAAGAGACTCCATTGAAGTATCCTATTTGCAATATATAGTGGGCGTATTACTAGGAATATATTATGATGTGCTACATTCAAACAAATTAATCGTGAGTGGTTAGGGTTGGTCGTTTTTAAAGACGTTTTGACGAGCTTTATTTTTTTTTCACCAATTCTAAAAAAATCTTAGCATAACTCTACTGTATATTTGCTTTATCCTCGGGGGCGGAACTACGTCACAGACGTTCTACGTTGCTAAGACGCGCACCACTATACCACGTATTTCTATGAGCGTTGTGCGCGCTGCTGTGGAAGGCCGGTGGAGCCGGTGAAAACTCGAGAAAACAACACAAACTCAACTTTGAAGTAATCCTGAACAACCAAATTCATATATGTTACACACGTAGGGCTAATCTTGTTACACTGTTCAGGGGACTCTCAACAACCAGCGCAAAGTACCGTTTTCTGCGAGTTTTTGATCTTTGTTTTCACCGCGAGGGTTGCCAGGCGGTAGAAAATGCCCGGATGTCCGCCCCCGAGGATACAGTAGTATTATAAGAGTATACACAACAAGTAAAGTAATCAAGAAAATTACTTATATCATTCTCGGTCATGATCGTGTGTGACCCACTTTTCTGGCCGTAGGTTGTTGATTTCACGCATACCCATTCGTCTTTATTTATGTAAACCGAAAAGATAACTTTGACTTGCATAATGCCTCTTGTTTATTTTTTAGTGTTTTTTTTTTTTCTTCAATAAAATAAAATATTATGTAAATGTATAAATAGTGAAAAGGCCGGTTATACCGCGAATCAAACACTTGATTTTTTGTTACTAGAATCGAGGCCCAAACAGTACTTCGATTTGGGCGAGCTTTAGGTGTTTTTTTTGCAGCCCCACCACAGGTTGTTTGTTGCACGTGTTTTACGTAAATCCTTTTAGAAGAGCAATGACCCAATGACCTCTAAAAATCGCACCTGATTCATGTACATGGTAAACTACATGATGCCCTCAACGGCAGACCAATTGACAATGCTTAGCTCATTCAGTAAAGTTACAATGCCTTCACACAGCTCGTCAATCTGAATATCCTTGGTTCGAAACGAGAGTGTTGTTAAATCCCGCGAGAACAATCTAGTTCTCCTAAACAGTCCCATTAAATGGGTATCATTGAGAAACTAGTAAACGGGTACTGTTAAGAACAAAAAGAGAGGCATTTTAGAATCTAGACATTGAAATTATTTCTCATGCAATCTACATGTATATCGTGCATTTACAGGCGCGATACACTGGTAATAACATAACTTTAAATGCACCACCAACATTATTGTTTTCTTTGAAGATAACCTCAATTTGTAGTCATGTTATCCAAGATACAAAGCTGTAGCGTCAATCATACAATCTATCAATTCGCATCTGTAAACATAAACAATATGAAAGCCACGGGC